CTGTGTCCTGACTACCCAACATCCCACCTGCAACAGTGGCTGCGCCCGTCCCCCCGTTGTCCAAGGACAGTTTTTTTTCTTCTTCTTCTTATTTCGCGCGTCGTCGGAACGAATTTTCCGCTCGCCGCGCAGTCAATGCGCGGGTGTCGCCCGTCAATTCCGCGTCGCGGGACTCATAATAACCGTCGTCTACGGTAACTGCACCGAGGTTTTCGAGTGCGCGCATACCATTTATTAAGTACACGCAATATACAGATATACAGGGTGCCGTGCGTATAGTAATATCAACACGACGCGGTCGTCTGCACAGAGAGATGTTATCATAAAAGAAAAGGGTGACCGCCGGAAAGAATATAATATTATGCATACGACTAGCCGGTCTTGTCGAGCCCTCTTGTCTGCAGTATACCGTCGGCGTGTCGCGGGCCAAGACCATCCGAGTAGCTGGCGGCGGCGACGCCACACGCGGGCGCCCGTTTATACTCTACCGTCGCCGCCGCCACGCCACGCCGACAGCCCGGAGTGCGTATCGATTTTCTGCGGGCTCTCTTTCTCTCCCGCTCTCCCACTCTATCTCTCCCGCCATTTCTCACTCTCTCTCCGTCTCTCTATTCACGTCCCTCTCGCCGGGGCCGCTCGTTATAGAGCTATCGTCGTACAGCCTCTCGTCGTCGTCGGACCCTCCTGATGGATCGTGTCTGCTTGCTCGCACACACGCTCAAAGGTCCGGCGGTATAGTGATGCAGCGTATAGTATAACAGCGTATACAGGCAGGCCATTTGTCGTCGCCACGACCGCATAAACGTGTATGCTCGTGTGTGTGTGTGTGTGTGTGTGTGTGTGTGTGTGTGAGTGCGTGCGTGCGTTTTGTACGGACGCGCGTCTTTGTGTGTCGGTCGCCGAGTATGCACGTTTCGTACTATTATAATGTAGATACGCTCTGTACGCGAGATACATCGTAAGCCCCTCTCGTGTCCGCGGAGAAGAACACGTCACCGCCGCCACCCGGTATATTGTATACACAATAACACAACGCTTTATATAGTCGGCCCCCGAAGTCCGGCAGGACGGCGAGGTTCCGTGCCCGCCGGAGGATTCGCTTGATTGCTGCGGGAGAATAGTGCCGCGCCGCCTTGTGTCGTCACACGCCGACACGCCGTACGCACAATGTCCGGCCGACCGAAATACCCGTAAATACCGTACCACGGATGGCGCATAATATTACCAGAGTTTGACAACATTATTATGCAGCGGATATCATTAAACTGAAAACGAACTTCGGTTGGCGGTCGACAATTTTTTTTTTTTTTTTTTCTGACCAACCTTTTTTTCTCCGTTTTCAAACGCGTCGCTCGTCGTCTCTCTAACGTTTTCGCCGACATTGTTTACGTTTAAATCGCACCCCCTCCGGGCTAGGAGTACGGTCCTAACCATATGGCGACGTCGAATCTCTTTATTTCTCCGTCCCGTCGATTTCACGCGTTTCGCCTCATTCGTATATAACCGATTTACTATTGGAATATTGGTAATACTTTAAACCTGCAGAGACGAGCCTAGAAGCCTAAAATTACTTCCGTAGGGTACGTTCTTTTAGATTCCGAGCGGATCGATTGGTTTTACAATGTTTATATTATTTTTTTTTTTTGCGGACAACTTTTCTATCAGCAATTTTGCTTCGATTTGCAATGATAGCACTTTTTCTGAAAGGAAATCGGACTGGGGAAGTGCTTTAAGGTAGTCATTGTTTTGATTTTCCCAAGAATTTTCGCTATAATTGGGAAAAACAGGAAAATAGGTACAATACTAGGCAAATACTATTGAAGAAAATATATAATGTATATGTAGTTATTTTATCATAATATGAAATGTATATTGTTGATAAAGCAACACTATTAATCGAACTCCGTTTAGAATCGGTTTTTCGTTACCTAGCAATGGTTAATCGTTGCACGCAGGTATACCTTAAATTTTCCCTATAATACCTTCCCAACTTCTCATCTATAACAGTGGCTGCACCTGTCCTCATTATACCAGGATAGTTTTTATAATTGCTGACTATTTATTTTCGGATCAGTTACCGTTGAGTCACCTTTTTACAGAGGATAAGGGGGATTCGCGCCGGGTAACACATTTCAAGGGGGCGTCGAAACTTGTTAAAACATCGTAAATAATAATTTAATAATATATTTATTGATTGCTATAATCTGTAACAGATAATTTAATTTAATATAGATATTTATATTGGAATATAAACATTTTTCTAAAAAAAATATATTAACCCCATCGCATAGTTTACTCTCGCTGAGAACAAAATGTAAAGTTTTAAAGAAACAATGGTACTTCGGGGTGCCCAACATTTAAGTAGGTGGGTACATTCTAGTTGGATCGATATAAATGTAAAATATAAATTACTGTCGACTGAACAGGAAGACACTGAGCAGCATTTCTCTGTCCCCGCAGTGCGTCAGAGTAATAACTATTCGGTGAATCAATTTATTTTGTGAATAAACTTCCTAATGAAATAATAAACTATTCCGCTCGTTTTTCAAAATTAAATTGATTTACCAGTTAACTAGTCGTAGAATTAAATCCATCAGAAGACAGTAATAATAAAATGTGTTAAGAATTGTGAAGCAAGTTGTAGAAATCTGTTTCAGTATTATTAGTTAAAATATCTTATTAATGATAATATTTACACAATTTTATATTGTTATATAGCCTATAAAATATGTTATAAACGTAAACAGTGATGATTATTACAGTTATTATTGGTTACATTATTCAGTTACTGTTTCTTGTTATATTTTTAATAACACATTATAATTTGCCAAAATCGAACAAAATGGACAGAAATATAATAGAAAAATTAAACATAATTTAAAAAGCACACAAGGCATCACACCTGTTTTTTTCTCTATTCAATTTCATACTACTTCCATATATTTTTTTCACTTTTTCCGCAGTCCGAATTTTTGATCTTTTTATTTTCATCATTTAGTGTTACTTGAAATAACGCTAAATAATGGAAATAATTTATTTCCATATTTTTCTCTGTTCACTTTTTATTTTTTCACACAATTGGATTTTGTATTGGTATTCAATTAGTAGTAAAACCTCAAAATAACATTTTTTCTGAATATATTAAAGAAGTATGTGTTGTATAAAAAAGTACATGGCATACAAAAAGTATATTTTTGTGTAAAAATGTGTGTAGAACAATGCAAAAAATGAGTTAATGTGTTCAAAATTCAAACCAAGAACGATTAGCTGGTACGATTTGTGAATGTCACTTTGTGCCAACGTATTTACAGCACGTGGGAAAATTGTTCTAATATATTTAACTAGTAGTACAGACTTTTTATAATATAAGGTTTTGATTATTTTCGGTCACCCAATTTATTTTTTGACGTCACTTAGCAATGATGTGTCCGTCACAGACACAACAGCTCCCCCCACTGAAATTTCAGGAAATCTTAAATGATTGTTTGAAGTATGTTATAATGAACTGCAATATGCGATAAACTGATACGCAATTAATCAGACCACTCCCCCGGAAAAGAACAAAATTCCCGAGTACAACGCACCCACACAACCTATTTTACTCGGGGTAACTTAACGATTCCAACGATACTGTCAAACACATTTATAATAATCATATCAATAATTATCAAGACTATAGGTGCTTAATTCATTACAAAGGTTATTCTGTAGAAAAAATACCGTACGTTTATTATAAGTGAACTCGATTATAGAACTTTAAACATTTTCCAATGATACCCTTGTAGTCAAAGCGCCCGGTACGTGGGCACTTATCGCACCCCCCTAAGGGGCTAAGGACGACCCTGCTGATGTACGCACATGTTAGTATTTTATGAATTCCAAACAGACTATTGTAAAGAGTGCCTACATCTTTTAATAACGGACGATGTTTAATCCCCGATAAGATATGAACTTACTATACAATACAGTTTTCCTTATCGTATAAAGTACGTCGAATCCGGATTATACTGTGAATATTCCTTAAAATTTAACTGCAATAACATTGACTTTCTCTAAACTAACTGCAAATGATAATTTATACGTATTCCCACTCCAAGAATTTGAATTCGATAGTTTATGGGTAGGAGTTTAAATCCCTCTGATTAGCAAATGTACACAATTTTATATATGTGCTTCTCGCGTAGATATTTGTCGCACTTATGCATGCGAACACTATTTTTTCGGCAGAAATACGATTGAGAACGGTCATTATCTCCGATACCATTTTTAGACTCTTTTGACTATTACGATTGAGAACGCTCGGGTTTTTATAATTCCACGCAACGTTGCCAGATATGTAGTAATCTGAAAATTCAACCAATCAAAAATATATATATTTCTTGTATCGTGATCGAGTTTAATAATTACCTATTGTTGTTTGAGATGGCATATTACCGAATCCATAAATAACGATCATCTATATAAATACAACGATAACGAAATGTTTACAACGAATAATCAAAATATACGCATTAGCGCATTACTCAGTAAGTGGTTTCCCGCATTATGGATTTTATGTGCGAAATATTTTACGTTAATAGTTAAGTAGAATGGAAAATAACTAAGACTTATATCCTCTGAACATGGTGGAAATTATAATCGTTTAAACTCCGACAAATACTGTTTTATTATACATTTTAAAAAAGTTTTTCATAATTTATTTAAGAGTTTTGACTTGAATACAGTTCGGCAACGTAGTACACAATTTCGTTCTAAGTAGTACTGTTTTTTTTTTTTTTCTGGGGTCATCGGCTATTTCATTGTTCCATTTCGAGCGTTCTCAATCGTACGCTAAAAAAGGTCGAACGTTCTGAATCGTAATGTAGCCATTGTTTTTATTAAATTAGATTATGAACACATAGATTATTCATAATTTGTATTCGTGGTCATAAACAGGGTTTCTTTTGGCATTGAATATTTAATAAAATGACGTGGTTGTGTTTTAATTTAATAATACATGTGAAACACACGAGCTAAACGAGATTAACTACCGAAGAAACCATAATAGTGTCACGTTATATAGACTTATACAGTACATTATCGTAAACCCTTCAGTAGTGTATCCGAAGTCAGTTCGCTTGTTTAGTGCACCAAACTTTAACTGCCGAAATTCTCAGGCTGGTATATATTCGATACCTTAACACGGCCCGAAAATGGTGTTGAATTTTAGTGTATTTAAAAAAAGCTCTTCCGACGGCAAAATAATTCTGTATCTGAGTAAACGCGACATCGTCGATCATATAACATACGTCGATTCCGTCGGTATGTATAGAAATATTTATGTTTATAAACGCGTATATACTGTAATATAAATACAGGGCCGGTTACAAAGGATTAGGTCAATAAATATAAAATATTTCTTGCGTAAAAACGTTGGGAGACTGATTTCCCCCTTACCCCGATATAATATTTATTCAAGCCCCCCGCCCTGTCCAACGGTTCGTGTGTGGATTATGGTTCCGCGTACTCCGAACACAGCTTCTGGTACCGCCCATAATAATAAGAACATTTCATAAATCCATAATCCTTTTCTCGTGGGGGGGGGGGAAATAAAAAATATTATTTTTACGTTTAAATATAATAAATCGTCATAGATAAAACGCAATTGTTCGGATTATTTTAAAAATAGATGCCTCACCAATCCAAATACAATACGGTATAAAACCGAAATACATGCATAAATGTATCGTTTTAATATATATATATATATATATATAGTATATACTATTTCATTCTATATTTAGAGAGAATATTCCGTATATTATTGGTGCCTAAATCGTCAGCAAAATTTAAAACCTACTTTGTACGCATAGGTACTCGGTATACCGATACCACCAATACAGTTATAGGTTTTTTTTTATTTCTATGGACGTAAGTTCGCGTATATCGAATACGCATGTCAAACAATCGCTGATCACTGCTGTGTAGGTATTGAATTTGTATTATTCGTCGATGATAAATGAATAAACACGTGAGTATCGAAAATCGAACTTTTTTTCATTACCTACATTAATATTTATTGTTCAAATTAATTTTTTGTTAAATGGGCTTTTGTCATTTTATAAATACCTATATTTATTTTATTACATAATGCTAAAGTCACTCGATTTTATACATTATTTTGCATGCCAAGTGACCTAAAAGTATTTAATAATATAATTAATTTTAGACACTATTGATTGGTTTATAATAGCTGACAACAGACACTGTATTTTATCACTGCCTACCGAGTTTTTAATTTTTGCATAAATTATAATGTTGTAATTTTTGTTTTAATGTCTTACTTTGCATATAGGTATTAGAGCATATTGTGGCGATTGTAGAACGTTATAGAATATTATATAGCTAAATCATTTTTTGAGCATATTTTAGTATTTTACTGATTTTCGCTAGGACATCAAAAAAGACAATTTTACATTTTTATCAATGAATATTGACATCATATTTTGAGCTTTTTAACCGATCAAATATGCTCTTTATTAATCACTCATTTACACATGGTTAATATTTAGAGTAATTCGATTTTATTGATTAACGTCCACAACTATAGAACAATAACTAAGATGACATTTATTAGTCACCATCTCTCGTAATTGATAATTTAAATTATTAATATTGGGCGTTAATAATGATTGCGGTCAATAATTATTGTAGTTCAAAAATGTTATACACATCAGATTTAAACCGAATTTATTTATACACTATACGTTTCAAATATGAGAATAATTATTTAAGATTGAGAATACGCGTTCCTTACACAGCCGTTGATATTTTTTAATTGTTTTTTTTTTTTTTTTGAGAATTTGACTAGACTGACTAGAATATTATACTCTATGAATAATAAGTAACAGCACTATGATATTATTTCATACATGATATATAGTAAAAATATTAGCAGAGCTCCGTCACTAGATTCGGATGTCCTTCCTATTTTTTATTATAGAAATATTATTCGTGAAATAATAAATGACCTAATGTCCTAAAAGTATTTCACCAAATACTTTTTCAAACAAAAGTATTTTTATATTATTCTTTTTTTTTTTTTATGGACAAAAAATATATGGGACAAAGAAGCCTGAAATACTAAACGGGCTAATAAATATAATTTATTTTAATGGGATTTAAAAAAGTCGTGTAACCAAATTTTATATACGGACTATACCTATACATTTTGTATTATATTATTGGTTTTACAATAACGTTTATTTTTTTATACTGTGTAAAAAATCTCTATCAGAAATCTTGCTCCGATTTTCAAATGTAGCACCCGTCCCTAGTATCAGTTCTTTTTAAGTTTTCATTTGTTTCAAAAAAATAAACTCACAAAATTTTATTATCTTTAAGAATCCATGTAACAATTTATAGACATTTTAATTTCGCGAGTTTTTCGTCATTTTTATTCAGTAGATACTCATGTATATACAATTTTTAAACCAAACAAAAATGCTTGAAAATTTAACAGGTTTACTATAAGTTGTAATCCAAAAAAAAAAAAAAAAATTGAGTATTATGGAGAATCTTCTTTTTATAAGAATTTGGATACCAAATTTTTACAAAAATCGTAAATATTACGGTCTTTCAAAACAATATATATAACCGAACTCTGTGCAGAATCGTTTTTCGTTACCAAATCTTTGTATACAGATATACCTACACCAAATTACGTAATATATTATATTACTATGTTTAAACTTAACTAAATTTAATTTCAGATGGCGTTGTTATGCTGGACAACTCTTATTTAAAAAACGGAAAAATCTTTGGCCAAGTCGTATGCAGTTTTCGATACGGCCGAAAAGAAGATGAAGTAATGGGATTGTGTTTTCAAAAAGACTTGTACTTAGCGTCAGTGCAAATATATCCTCCTCCGGAAAACAGTGAACCGTTCAAATTAACTAAAATTCAGGTGAGCATTCTGGTTTGTAAATAATAATTATTTTTAAATAATGTAAATCGAGTACCCCGCGAAGATTTAAAATGCTTGAGTCATATATGAGATCATTGGAATTCAAAACTTAGCAGCTTATAATAACTACACATTAAGTATATTTTATACATTTTCTGGCCTGCATTTCTTTAGTATTCTTCATATTTAACTATGCGAACAAACTGCCAGAATTAGATAATATTCGTACTTAGCCAGTGATAAGTGATAATAAGGCATACTATCCTAATCACTTAATATTACATATTTTTTTTAAATTTATTATGTTTTTTTTTTCTTTTACTACAACACAATCTAATTTTAATTAAAATATTATATACATAACCTATTATTTTATATAGGTATTATTAATAACTAGGGCTCGGAACTTTATGCATCTTTATAATCCGCAGAAAATAGCTTAAAAACGTCAAGAGAGCTCTGAAAAAAAAATTTAAAAATCAAAATTAACAGAGGGCTCAGAAGGGTTTAAAATTTCCACCCCGATCACCGAACCATTAAATTTAATTATCTGACACGTGCAGGTTTCTTAATAGTAACGTTTTTCGAATAGTTCAAAATATAGCTACCTATTTAGAATATATCTACTGATCGGTGTACTAATGTTCCGTAGGAATGTTTATTATCTAAATTGGGAAGTAACACCACGGCGTTCCGTTTTAAAATGCCTGATAATGCACCGGCATCGATTATTTTGCAAGACGGGTCGACGAATTTGGCTGACGCGTGCGGTGTGCAATATTATGTGAAAATATTCGCAGGCGAATCCGAAACTGATCATAACCGTGCAAAGTAATTTATACTAAATATTATTATTTTTACTTAAATATTATTGTACAAGTACTAAAGTTTCGTTAAACGATATTTGTAACAGTTTTTAGTTTACATATAGAACTAATTTTAATAAATAATCAATTAACCTTTTTCCTGTTTGCATTGACAGTAGCGAGGTATCTGTTTTCACAGTACTTCTCCAACGCTGTCGTCGTTTGTAATAAATATAATTAAATGATACGTCAAAATCTTGTTTTCCTCTTAGTGGGGTTGCAGATTCACATTGAATTTAAAGATGTATTATAACTAAGGAATGAGATGAGTACAGTGACCCGCATCATCCCTTTCCCAAATGCTAACTTAAGCCTAACCTAAACATACGACATTGAGCCGATAAAGACGTCCCCATCGGAGAAGAACGTCGCGCCGAAGGGTGTCAGACGACCCGAGGGTGACGGTCGCCCTTGGCCTCCGTGTAATCGGTACCCTAGCTAAGCCGTTTTGGTTGTCAATCATTCTTCCGGTAGCTCATCGACGATCCTTAATCACTACAATCATTCAAATTTTAAATAAATTTTCATATAATATTGTTTTTAGATTCTGAGAGCAACGATGAATATATTCTTACTTCGATGTGTGCTATTTTGTGTGTCTGTAAACAATTTTCTACCAAAAATCTCACTTCAATTTTTAAGTGTAACGTCTTTTACGAAACCGAATTTCATCTAGTTGGTGCATTGGGAGGTCTTATTTTATTTTATTTACAGATTTCTTAATAACTAGGAAAAACGGGAAAATAAAGGTTGCATTATTATTTTCGATATTGTTTTTTTGTTGTGATTCAGTTAAACATAATCGTATAGAGACTAGGATTTTTCACAGAATACTTACATAGTATATTCTTTTCTAGACGTATTCGTCAAAACATTTTGAGTTATTTATTCTTATAGGTAACTAACATTTTCGATTATTTTAGTACTTTTTATGTGAATAAAATTGTTTCAGCAGTACAGATATGTGTTAAAGTTTAAAACAAGATTCATTATAAGTTGTGCTTAGTGTCAAAATAAAGTTTTGCATAGTTTTGAAGTTGACATTTTAACGATAATTGTAAAAACTACGACATTTCAAAACATGTTTAACCGAACTTCGCTCAGAATCATATTTTTTAGCAATGATTTACCTTAACATACTGCAGATATAAATTAAATAATACTATGTATACTACCTTACCAGCTTTCCACCATAAACAGGATTAGTTCTTTTTAAAGAAAAACACGTGTTGTGTGTTAATAGTATAAGGTTTATATCATTGGCGTAATTCGTAGGGGGGTTAGACTAAGATATATTAGATGTGTATAATTAACAAAAATACAAGTTGAAGTGGTTATGTCATATAGGTACATTTTAACTTTTGTACTAAAACAAGAATAGTTTCTTTTTGTATAATAATTAAAATTAATTCAAAATTATATACAAAAACGCTATGCCGAGTTGCACACAATTAGTTTTGTAAACTGTTGGTTTCATAATCTATTGATTCTATAAAATAATAGAATTGAATAGATTTTATTTTCCTTTAAACATAATATAGATGATAACCATGTATTTATACAGTTAAATATCATAAAATACAGTTGCCGACAAATTTAACCTAGTAAAAAAACATCTAAAAAACCTTTTGTCGTTCATCGTAATATTATATCGTGTAAATTGTATAGAAAATTATAGAAAAGTACGAACAGTTTCATGGTATCACATCAGTATTATATGTCGAAGATTTTAGATTCTGAGCGAAGCGAAGATTATAAATATTGCAGGTTCACTATGATGTGTGATTTATAAAACTCTGCTAAGAATCGTTTCACATTAGTAATGGTTTGTCGTTGCGTACGGATATAAATTAAACGACTTTATACACCCATAGTCCAACTTCCCTTCTAGAACAAGATAGCAAACGCATCAGCATTATTATTATCCTTTTTTTGTACTTTATATTCACTATTTTTTTACCTAAGACACCGTACAGCCAATTCAAAAACGAGGTCGAACCAACGTGTTTTGTATTTAAATATTATAATACGAACGGTATAATTATACGCAGGAGTTTCGTGGCTATGCGCATCCGTAAAATCCAGTTTGCTCCGGCCATGCGTCCTTCGAGCAGACATCCTTGCACCATCGTCCGCAAAGACTTCATGTTCAGCCCCGGCCAACTGGAATTGGAAGCGGTACTCGATAAACAGGTATAATATTATATTATTATTATTTATGACTTAATTATTATATTATATTATAAAGCACACAACGTGTCCAGTGCCAGTACTGGTATACGCTGTACGTCATAATATTATACTGAATACCGGTAAATTATTATATTCATTTCGTATACAGCTATTTTCAAAATAATTATCGTTGTATACTCGTACACATAAAATATTTAAAAATTAAAAAACAATTAAACAAAAATTCGGTGGATTTACTGTTTGAACTTTAAATAGACGAGCCATATAATACGTAAATATAATTATATTTGATCGAATTAAAACGAAATTCTGGACCTCGGGGCCAAGAAGATCCGAACTATCATGTTTAGTAAAAAAAATTTTATTTTAAAAAAATTAAATTTGATGTTTCTTTTTTGTGCGAAGGGATGAATTCTCGATCACTAAAATTACAATAAATGACAAAAACAAAAATATCTATTTCAAATGTGACTAACCCGACTTAAATTATTAAATTCATAAGGTAATTCAAGAAACTGAGTTTAGACCTTCTTGGCTTGTGATCCAGATAACTAGATATCTAGAGGTATATTATAATTTAGTTAGGCAAAGGGGGACGAAACTCCTCTACTAATTTTTTTTTTTTCTAGAATTTAAAAAAAAAATAATTTAATTTAATGTTATAGGTAATATTACATTTTTTAAAAATGCAGTATTATTATAGCTCGGTCTTAAAATATTATTTATTATTTAATTATCATATTACATTTACAGTATTATGTGGGTGAGAAGAGTGACAAGATAAGATAGAATAATGAACGAGTGCATATAAAGTGATGTAAAATAGGCGTCGATAGAAAAAAAAAAATGAAAGAAAATACATTAAAATTGTTTGGAGATATCATGAAAAATAGGAATCAGTAAGAATAGTTATGTAGTTAAACGTAGAAGAAAACAGAAAAGAGAGGAAGGTCGAAAAAAAGTGATTGAATGCGATTAAGAATAATATGAGAACATCCAAGGACAGCCAGTGTATGCAAAGTGGGATCGGGTCAAATAGAAGTTTAGACCTACTCTAAATAGCTGAGATAAAGGTAAGGGAGGAAAAGAAGATTACATTTGCAGTGTTGCACTTGTGAGTTGTGTGATAATAAATTAAGTAGTTTAACAAAAATCTAAACACCATCATTTTTTTTTCCGAAAATAAGAAACAATTGTATAAAAAATAAAATAAATAAATAAAATATAAATTAAGTACCTATAATATATTATAATAGTATTAATGTTAAAATACATAAAATAAATAAGTAGGTAAACAAAACCGTAACCTGCATGAATATTGTTTTAAGAATCCAAGAAAAAATTCCCAAAGTCAAAAAATAAAATATACGTTTACGGGAAATTCGTAGAAATTGATATTTTTTAGAGGGAAGGATACTAAATACAAATAACTTAATTAAGAGAATTCCCGCTAAGTTTCCTCCAGAAGTTTAGATTGCACAAGAAGTTGCGTTAAACAATAACCAGCGCACGGACAACCAAACTGAAGCCCTCCGAAAATCGGGTTGAGTTCAATAAATGTAAGTGGCCCTAATTTTAAAATATTTATAAACAATTTTATTAGACTTGTGTTCTTCTATCCGTCGTGTTCTTTCAATTCGATTTTGGGAAAATGTTTCTAGTTAGTTCCTCCCCTGAAATAACCTCATAAGCGCCCATGATGACACATATGAATTATTGATAAACGGCATACATTATATCAGTTTTCTTAATGTCTAAACATTGAAAAATATCATGCAAAATATTAATAGGCACATCAATTATATTTTAGCATTTTATACCTCGTACTAGTTTTCTAAAGAACAGTCCTTATTATATCATATAGGTAATAGCTAATTAGACAAAATTAAAATACGAATTAAGACAATAAGACAGTATTTTAAGTCGTGTCATATGTAATTGATATATAATTAAATTATGCAAGTATAAATAATTAATCAGTTCCGTCAATAATAGTAAAAGGTAGTTTCACTAGAGTATATTTTGGTTTAATTTAAAGGCTTCGGCGTGTCTGCGCTTATATACTCTGACCCCTGTGTATAAAAGATCTAATAAAATGTAAGTTTCTATCTTAGAGCACACATTTAGTCTGTGTACGGTTCAACACATATAGGAGTATATTAAATTGTTTATTAAATATTATTATTACATTGCGTTGTGTACGTGTACGGTGTGCATCGTCGCCTTCGTATACCGTCAAAGCGGTGAAATAGGACGAGGATAATGACATGCGCGCCTAAAGTAAAGTAATAACACTAGTGTATATTATACAGAGTGTTTCAGTCAAACAGCAATGTGAATTATCTGTACTGGATGGATTTCGACTGAAACCAGAACATCAAATTCGAAGAGTCGTGTGTGGTTTTTTTTTTTTTTTAACTTTCCACAACCGCTTTATATTGATATTTGATTTAATTATTTTTCGGTTCTTTAAAATTATTTAAAACGTATGTTATATTATTCTGAATGAAGCGAGGAATGTATTGTATGTTTTGCTATCATGTGTTTTTCTTTTTTTTTTTTGTGCTCGTAAACAACTTTTCTACCAGAAATATTGTTCCAATCAAAAACTTTATTGTGAAACGTTTGACCTAATCAGTGCGTTAAAAAAGTAATTTTTTGATTTTCCTTGTAGTTTTCCTAATAAATCAGACAACTGACAATTTTCGGTATAATTTATATTGATTTCCGGGTTAACTTGGCAACAGGAGAAAAAATACGACTAATAATATACTCTGCTCAGAGTCGTTTTGCCGTTAGCAAGTTGATCGTTGCGTACAAACATCTCCTAAAACAGTGGCTTACCCGTGTCAGTAACGTATTGAACTTTTTTTTTTATTGTGTATGTGTATATTATTATGATTATTTTTGCTTACGGTGTACTTCTTTTCAGAAGTAAATCAGCAATCTGATTTTTTCAATACTTTTAAAATGTTGAATTTGCCGAAAAATATTGTATTTTTTCTAACGAACGTTTGATCAAATTGTACTTATATACCAACATTCGAAATAGGGCCGTTCGAATGTATATGTATGTATTTTGGTTTGTAAAAAAAACAAATAAAAACAAAACGAAAAAACGTACGCGTAAATCAGTATGTAATATATTGCGGTTAAAAATGTCGACAATCGGCTCAAACTGAACAGATACAATCTGCGTTACCCTCTAGATTTTCCCGAGGAAAACAAAACCGCGTTTACAACCGAGTCCATCCGACCGAAATATTCCGCGTTGCCGTCGGAGCGAAACGCGCCGCGTATGCTCGGGATGTTTACCGCAGCAATAACAATATTACGCTTATGTGCGCCGAGCGAAATGCGCGCGCACGCATTTATCAATACAGCTACGCGCGTACTGTATACACTCAATTTTAATAATAATAATAATATTATTATTATTAATATACGCGTAAGATATTCGTAGGAATACACGAAGTGCGTACGCATTTGCGATACGACGTTGTGCCGTATATAATAGCAGCGGTCGCACGGGTACGGGATGAAAACAAAAACAAAAAGCTATTAACTTTGAGGCCTTATAATAATTGGTTCATTGTGTTCGTAATAATAAACCCGCGCTATAGCGCTGCACGTGTATAATAATGTACTCGAAATAGGAACCAATAATTGACGGCCATTGTCGATGCGTTTGTTTCAAAATTGGCGCGCCTTTAACAATAATCATACCTATAAATATGTACAACAACCAGCGGATATTCGTGTATCGTGCTATGGTTTTTTTTTTTTTTTTTTCGTCGAATTGCGCGCGATGTTTTTATAGCGTACTATAAAAAAAAACAATAGTGACATTTTATAACCTTTATAACATGTGGGCTTACAATCAGGATGTACTATACTCCTTGTACATTCGTGTCGTATGCGACCTTTCGATTAGTATGCGGTTTTTCACGGCTATATCGTACATTTTCACCAGAAACTAAGTGGCCCATCTGGAAATGGGCCTGGTAGCCTGGTAATATTCGTGTATAATTAATTAATTAAAAATTTAGTAAAATGTGTTGTCTAGAAACATAATATATTATATATAATATTCTTATTTTTTCTTTTTAAATATATTTTCGTTTAAAGTCTTCTCCTCCTTGACCTTTAACCCTACCGTTCGGGGTCGACTACCATCATGCTAAACTTCCGCTTGAATTAATCTCCCACTATGCATTCACCAACTTTCCTCATATCGTTCTCAATCGCATTCAACCACTTCTTTTTCAGTCGTCCTCTCCCCGTCAGTGGTACCAAAGCTCATATAGTTATATGTATATGACGAGTCACCTAACCACCTATACATCCCCACTCACCCGTCCACAGAAAATTTATACGTTTTCTTTTAAATATAAACAATGTATTCTCTAGGTATACGGTGTACTTACTTTTATTACTATAGTACCGATTATAAACATGTTATTTTAATCTAATTTTTTCTCAGAATATTTTTCCACACACTTACACTACTCCGAAAAACAAAATAATAGCTGACGAAATGAATTGTTTAGTAATAAACTGACCGTTACAGATAACAGTATAACACTATAATAGCATAATTACTGATATACCATGTGTATCCCAATCACTATTAAAACGATCTGTTGTTAGTTTATTTTATTTAACACGATCTAAGATAATACGGTTTTCGCTTTATTTTACGGGATACCTATCCCCGAAACAAAAGTGACAAAAGTATGGCGACCACCATACACGAACGTGGATTTTGGCGCTACTGCTCCCCTCTTTCTTCCCACGTTTATTTCCATTACAGTTCTCAATACTTCTAAATCCTTTCTCCTCAAACTTTAAATGTGCATATAATATACCGTACCAATTACTATTATTTATTCGTAAATATTAATTAGTAATTTGTATATAATTTTTTTACAAAATAACCAACTTATATCATAATATAAGGACTAATCGATAATCACAATAATAATAAATTTCCAATCGCATGACGCAGCGCGTCGTCCATAACGTCAAAATTCAATAATAAATTGTATATAAATAATATACTCATACGTTAATTCAGGCCTGCGTATTGCGCATGTGCAATACAAAAAGGATACTAAAAGGATAGAACATTTTAGCTTTATCCTAAAATATAGATATATTTCGGTACCAGACGGTACCTACCCCTATCACAGAAAACCACAGTTCAAATTAAGATTATCAGGCCGAGATATTAAACGGTAAATATAAGGCACATTGTACTTATAATATATACCTACTGATAACTTATATAGTGGAATACTGGATTGTTGGTAAAAAAAAAAACAATAACCTTTCTCAGTGGCGTGGCGAAGGAGGTAATCGAGAAGCGCCTGTCTCTGATTTTTTTTTTAATGGATCTACATTATGACAATTTTTAAAAAAGTGATAAACCCAGTGTTAAGTTTTCGTGTATAATAGCCAATAGGTGTGTATTCGAAAAAAATATACTCGCCTATGTAAATATTTAAGTTTACCACTCCACTGACCCCTCCCCTTCAGATACGTGTAACGTGGCTGATCAAAACAAACTACACTATGAGACGCACGTTGAGTCATCGTGTATAATAAAATATTATAACCAAGTGTAGTTGTTTTTTTTTTTTTTTTTTTTTTTATTATTATTAGTAAATGATAATAAATAATAAATTAAATAGTAAAAATTACTATTACTTTAATAATAAATGATATCATTATAAATATTCAGGTTTACACGCACGGTGAAAATGTGATGGTAACGATGTGTATACGCAACAATAGCAACAAAATGGTGAAAAAAATCAAAGTGTTGATGCAGCAGATCGTGGACATTGTCATATTCCAAAACGGTCAATGCAGGACCACCATATGCGCCACTGAAACACAGTGAGTCTTCATAATACAAGTTGTGTTTTATTTTATGTTGCATTGCTTTTACGGTTTTATAAAATCTTATTATGTCTATATAACGAAATAAAATTCCCTAGAATTGTCAAAGATTGAAGAAAAAACAATAATAATAAATTTAACGTTCCAGCTATAGAGTCTTCCAAATTGCATTTTGATTACAGTCAAATTTTCCGTGAAATAATTTATTTTTCAAAAAATTACGTATTTATATACTTTAATTTGTAGGGGAGGAACCGTTACCTCATTTTGATTTTCTGTGAATGGTGACCTGAATTAAACCATTAAAAATCCCATAAATAAATTGAGTATTAGTTTAAATAAATTTTGGTGTTGACATTTTTGATGTCCGATTACAATGAACTTTTTTTCAAAAAAGTGTATGATAATTAAGCCATTGAAATGTTACATTTATTGTTAATGTGGTTGTCCCGGTAATTGGGCCACGAACTTTTTTTTATTATCGGAACCGGTTATTGGGCCACTGATCGAATATATCAATTATATTATGGATGTAAAGTTAGGCAAACGCGATTTGTATAAAATAATATTTTATTAATAACCACGGCCATAAAAAAAATATATATAAACATTTTTACACACATAATTATTAGACTAATTTTATATTTATTAGTTTGTTGTTTACCAACTATATATATATATATTTATAATATATAATATGATATGCATATAGCGAGTAATCCATAAGTGGCTACACTCGATGTTTCGAAAAATACTTTTTTCAAGACTTTTTTTGTTTTGACATTTTACGAAAAAAGCAGCTCTAAAGGTTTACACTTACATTATTTTACTGTCGCCATTATTTTTGAGGGGTGAAACGAATAACAACTTTTAATTTTAAAAAGCGGCCCTTATTAAAAATTCCATAAATAGATGGAGTATTAGTTAATTAGTAAATGCATTTTGGTGTTGAAATCCCGTCGACGAGATATTCCACATTTATGTTTGGATAGGAGGAGATGAGCAATGGAGCAGTATGTTCAAACGCGGCACGCCTCGCTGTCGCAGATTCCACTACTCTCCCCCCAGCAAAATTTAAAAGTGGAATACCTCGTTGATTACATTTTTGGTGTATACATACAAAGATAAGAAACTCCTTTAGGTAGTATTATACTCGGAAATATTACTCTATACAGGTGGTGATAAAACCTTACTATAGGTATAGTGTTTTCATTATATCAAAGCAGCCATACTTACATTGTTCGCTGTTAATTTATGTCACATCATACACGACTATTAATTTTTTTTCCATTTTTTTTTTTTTTTTTATCGCGGTTCAGTTTTTGTTTGTATTCTGATAATCCTGCAGTTTTATCCAGCGTTACGCGTGTTACTAGACCACGAGAGATAAAAGGTTCTTGAATTCAGCGTTGATGAGTATGTTTTATTTTAACTATACATTTAATTAATGCCACTGTTTTCTGTTACGTACAATGCATGTAGAAGGAATACATATACTGTTTTTGTATTTTATCAACGCTCGGGTTAGCTTCGCACGCCCGTTTATTTTTATTCGATTTCCAACTCGTATGAAAATATACATTATTCCTATTGATTATGCCAAAGACACTAACACCAGTTCCTTATTTATATTGATATGTATACAAAATAATTAAATAAATATACAATGTAAAAAAAAAAAAAAATCCAATAAAACTGCCATTACTAAGCCCGGACAGTATAATTATAAAGGTTGTATATATATATATATATACGACCAGTTTCGATTTAAAAAAAAAAAAAAACCGTCATCATCAGATTATAGAAGAGAAAAGGTTTTTATAGGTTAGAAAAGGTCAGAAAAGGTTACGAAATTACTATTTTTTAACACAGGGAGTAAATTGTATTCGATTTAAATTTTATTTAAAGTGATTTTAAATCGCGATGAAATAAAAAAGTTTTAGTTATTATCTAAAAAAAATTTGTATAGAATATTATTTTTTAAATCTGTCTGTTCATTCAAGATGATTTTAAACGTATATTTTCCTGAACTTCATCATAAATGTGCAACTTATTCAATACCGATTTAATGTATCTAAACGTTGTCATGGCAATTCGAAATCTCGAAGTCATTATTTGTATCGAAATCAACAGTAGGTATCATTATATTCTATAACGTTTTTAAAACAATAAGGCGAAGCTTTCTTTAATCTTATTTCAGAGTTATGCCCATTGCGTCTAGCTTTAAATTTCATTACAGTCAACTACATTTAAGTTTCGTACTTCGGCATAATCAAAAGCAGGACGAATTTTACCCTTAGCACGTTTATTCGTTTTGAAAACGACCAAAATTATTACCTATCATTATTGTTTAGAACTTTTCCAAATTTATTAGAAATGTTCATATGATAATTCATATTATACAATAGTTAATAATATTATTAATAAGGTAACATTATTTTAACTTTCATCGTGGACTTTTCTAATGCTTTTCATATCGAAATAATTATTACGAGCAATATCGTAGATATTGTCGAGTTTTACTGTTTTCTATGTTCACTGTTAAAGCAACGAAATTCGATGTGCTATTATAATTTGCGTCTCTGCAAGTGTAATTATTGTACTTCCTTGTTCGTGTTGTTTAAACATCTTGCCGTATTCTCGGGTTGCCTATAATATTGATCCACGGAGTAAAATGAATGTGTCATCGGCGCAATTACCAGTGTAAAAATCATCGGCTGCGTAAACAATGAAACAATACATATTATAACAATGGCTATCGGACGATACCGTAGTTTCCGATCGCGGGGTTGCTTTTTGTCATAGACAAAATATTCAGCAGCTATTTTTGTGCCCAATACGGCGCTACGGCGGTTATGTGCTCCACAACAAATTGGCGATTGCGTTCATTACTGTCACTGACAATCATTGGTAGGCATTTAAATTCAAATACCATGTATATCTACTAGTATCACACGCGTGCGCTACGAAAATCCAGCGAAAAATAGCCACTTGGCACATTTATTCGATATTCTTATCGGTTTGATTTTATTATTTTTCGAACCGAAAATATAAGTGTGACGAAAAATCATAATAACGCAATAGGTTTAATGTTAAAGGAGTTATAAAAAACGTAGTATCCTGCAAATAAAATGTTCGTAATAGTATAATCTCGTAACGACGATGCGTTCGTAAAATATAAGTTTGGAACAAATATATTCCTACAGGCTATAAAGCCTATAACACTATAAACCAAAGGTTCCTGAAGTGGTCTATATAGCCCCCTCCCTCCCCCCGGGGTCCATTCCGGCGGCGCTGAAACCAGCACTAACCAGCTTTATACCTGAGCCATATTTGTATCGAATCGGTACGTATATGGAATATTAATTGAGTGTGTTGTATCGGAGTACAACTTTTTACCCGGCCGACTGCTCAAAACATTGTTCGGCACTACTGGTCAATTCTGACCTGTAAGGGGTCCATGTCGTCGAACAAAAAAAAAATCGAAGGCGCACGGGATGTAAATAGGGATAATAAATGATTTTTAGGGGAGGGGCGGAAAATCAATGAAAAAAAATAAAAACTTAACTAGAGGTCTACGGGGAAAAAAATTTGGGGACCTCTGCTATAAACGTGTATGAGAAAATATTGAATTTTCGTTGTAAAAACCCGAGTCACTGCGCGCGCGATTATTAATATAATATTATGTAATATCGTTTTAACTTTTGCCATCGATCAATGTCCTCCCGGCATAATAATAATCAGCGGTATAATCGGGGTGGGGGGGGATAATATAAATGTGTTAAAAGACGTGATATATTTTTTTTTTTCAATGATAGACGTGTGACACCGGCCCCCCCATAATTACAATGATATTTTGTTATTTTTATTGCGTGAAATCCGACGTAAAGATTACAGATCGCCGCCGCCGCCGCCACTGTACCGAATATCGCGCGACAGAAAGAAAAAAAAAATCATTCACGCAACGTCATCGGCAACGTCGGAATACGGAGAAAAAAAAAAAAAACAACAAACAAATCGACCGTTCCCTCTCGATCGTATTACCGAAAACGGCCGTCCTCGCGACTGTCGTGTTTCACCGATGACGACGACGACGATGCGTACACGCGTTATTTTCCTGTACCGCGTGTGTTACGCGCGGCGGCTATTATGACGGCGACGGCGACGCATCGTAAACAACGCGTCGTTCGACGACACACCGAAACAACAACCGCCGCGCCATCGCGACGCGTTTTCACCGCTTTAACCACGCGCGGCGTGTAACCGACGCAGCCGCCGATCGTTGCGATCGTTTGCGTGGCGCCGCCCGTCCAGCGCGCGGAGAGAATACGGCCGATGAGCATGGGCGTCGTCGCGTGTCTTCGCCGCCGCCGCACACACGCTATCTGTCGCCATCGACGGACGGGCCGCCGAGACATCTGGTCAAGACCGTATTTCGCGCCCGACGAGCGGACGTCGCCCGAGTGAAAAGCATTCCGGAACGGCCGTACAATAATATTATTATGTGCGACGCGCGGGGAAATGTCCTCCTCTTGCCGGCGACATTCGTGGCGCGGCGGGTGGGGCGCATGCACTGTGCGTTTGCGCCGACCGAGATGTTCCGCGTGCGCACGTGTGTGTGTGTGTGTGTGTGTGTGTGTGTGTGTGTGTGAGGAGAGGAGGAAGGGGAGGCCGCGAAAATGTCGTTGGGCGGACAAAGACGGACAAAACTGTGAAAACGAATACCTGAACCGCGGTTGTTCATTTTCTAAAAATAAATACTATTACAATCATATTTTTTTAAAAAAAAAAGGTCGGACATACTTGGCACGTGGGCGCAACCACTGTTGTAGGTGGGAAGTTGGGACAGTAGGGTACAGACGGGAATTTAATGTACATTTGTTAGCAACGATAAACCATTGCTAACGAAAAAGCGATTCTGAACGGAGTTCTGTTGATAGTGTCGCTTTGTCAACAATATATTGTATACCTGAGTCATATTATGTTAGAATGATTACAACAATGTGCGTTTTCATATCAACAATGATTGTTTAAAAAATATTATAATAATAACAAAAAATAATTAAAAACGATTGTCAATGACAAACTTATTTTTAATCTTTCAATCTTTTTGAACCCAAAGAACCAGGTTTTTCTCATTATCTCGGATATAAATGATAATTTCAAAAAATTACCTCTCTAAAATACCACCCAGAGAACATTTCCTTTCAGGATAAGTGCTATACTTAATTATCGGAGTAAGTTTTCAGATAGAAAGTGTTCATGTAAAATAAAAATAATAAACATCATTGTAAAACCAATACATTCTTCGCTCCACTCAGAATTTAAACCCAAAATTTAAAATAATACAATAATTTTTCTCTGTTAATTTACACGGTTTTTCTTTCTACTTGTTTTTCGGTTTTGCTCAATTATTAAAAAAAACATCAAAAAACTACTTTCTTGGCCGTCAATTAGATTGAAAATGTAACAAAAACGATTTCTTTTCGTTTTTCTATTGGAGCAATATTTATTATATAAAACATAAGCCGTAAAAATAATGAAATCGTTGCGCAGTAATTTAAAAAAAATCGTATTTTCGTCTTTTTGGATTTTCCCAACTATTTTGATAAATACTAAAAACGGTTTCCTTACCGGCATTAACTATATCGTTAAAAGGAACAAAATCGATCTCTAATCATTTTTTGATTGGAGCAATATTTTTGGTAGAAAAAATGACGAACAACGAAATCAGTACAACACCGATATTTGCAGTTTTACATATAATTTTCTTTCGGGTTTTTCCCCAATTATTTCGAAAACCCCTTGAAAAATCAAAAAATTACCTCCTCAATGCACCAACGATAGAAAATTACCTTTCAGAAAGAGTGCTACTCGCTATATACATCGGAACATGATTTTTTTTTAAAACAAAAATTGTTTACAGGCAGGACAAATTAAAAGCACACGTAACCCATGTGTAGTCCAATCGCTTCGTTCGGAATCTAAAATAAATATTCAGTTTTAAAACTATTGTTTCGGTTATTTATGTGGGGAAAATAACGTATACTGATTGGTGGCCGTCATATTCGTGTTTACTACTGTATAATATTATTTGTCCCATAATACGGCCCTGGCCGCAGGGCGTTTAAATCCCTATAGCCACGCCATTGCTACGCCATTGCTACGCCGCCGAGGCAATAAACTGAAACGGAATTCAACGGATAAGTGTGTTGAAAACGAAATTTCGAACGGATTTCTGCGAAATGGAGCAAATTGATAATTTGCAATTGCATTAATACGTCATTATTTGTTCATCGGTTATTTGTATAAATGTTGAAATCGTTATTTAATAATACACTGTTAGTAGGTGTTTTTTATTATTTAGTTTTATTATTTGTATTAGATACGCGCTAATGAACAAATAAAAATGTTTCAATTGTTTACCGTCTCGATTGATTTTGTAGTGCCGCATAAATCAAAATTGGAAAAAAAAAAATTACTACACAATAGGTAAATTGATTGCGATTGATTCGAGCGATGTGCATCGCGATCAGCCAACGCGATTATAACGGCTTAGGTGATATTGATAATATTTCATTAGCATAAATATATACTATGAACTAAAAATACGGTACATTTAGAAGACAAATAAACCTAATAAATATACGAATCAATTGACTTTCGAACTGTTTAAATGTATAAATCAATTTGATTACGAAGAGATATTTTACGATGTACCTGTACGGTATTGTATATATATATACATATATCATTTAATTTCCGATTAAAATACACTTAACAATCAACTGTCTATCATAGATACGAAAAATATCAACGACGTGTTGTGTATACTAACTCATTGTGTTAGAGTGAATAGTGAATAGAATTGTTTTTGTTAATAATTCTAAATATTAAACCCCGATAAAACTCGGCGACTTTACCTATACATTATAATTGGTTTACAGAGGCAATCCGTTTTAGTATAAACTGTGGATTCGAGAGGAAAAAATCACTAACAGCTCTAATGTATCAGAAGAATTTGTAATTTATATTGCGTTATTTCATAATAAACCAAATGGCGGGTAAAATAAATTATTATCGATCATATATTATTACGTCGAGATGGTTGATACGGACGAAACACGGCACTGACAGGTTGTAAATTACTCGACCGGTACCAGCCCATTGCATCGATCCGCCGATAGGACGCCTCTGATGCATTCGCAGATACCGGATTTATCAAAAAATTGTTATAATATTACATTAATACGTTATTCAAATTATATTATATCATATTCAAGCTCTATACGTATACATCCCGCTTTTCCAACTTCGACGGTGGCACACCCATCGACATTATTAGCTCTTTTATTTACTTATATGGTCCATGATTGTATATGGGTCTTTAATTCCTAAATAGTTATTAAATCACAATGGTTCAGTGGCGTGATTGCGGGGAGGCAAAAGTATAATTTTGCCACCCGGGTATTCCAACGCTATAAACCTATGAATCTTCTCGAGTTAAGTAGGTTAAGTGAGTTACGCAATTCTAAATTCAATTCAATGGTATTTATATATATATATATATATTATTTTTTATATGTAAAATACGTATAAATAATAACTAAAAAATTAATTAGTATATACTTTTTTAAACTACTTACAGCACCTTTATATTAATACGCTCGTATACAGGTACTTAATATTATTTAACAATATGGGTACCTATAGAACCTGTTACCTACAATTCGTTTCTAAGCCATAAATGAGTTTCAAAACTTCTGTAAAAACAAACAATTAGGTAAACCGTGTACAATATACACACAATAAAAATTTATTTAACCGGGGGGGGGGGGCTCAGGATTTAGATTGTGATGGATAAATTACCCCCCCCCCTAGATTTTTATCCAGTTACGCCGTTGTCATAGTTGATTACAATAATACCTATACTATTTCAGAGAAGGGTGTCCAATATTACCAGGTTCGTCATTACAAAAGACTATAGTGATGATGCCGACCTTGGATAACGTTAAGGGCAGATACGGCGTTGCTTTAGAGGATCAAATTAACGGCCACAAGGAAATATCGTTAGCTTCGTCCGTTTTGTGAGTATTACGACTAAACTAGTATAATAATAATAAATTATTAGAATATAGAGCAAAGTACCTGAAACAGAGGACATTAACACCACCAATCGAAAATCGATGATAGATTTTTTTATAATACATTTTGTCAAACTGGTGATTATTTTTTATTTTTCTTGTAATTATCATTACAATTGTGGAAGGGAGGGGTTATAGTCGGGAAACGGGAATATCTACGCGATAATACGATTTCTGATATTTTCTATTTGGTTTTTTTCATTTTATAACATTTATTAACATTAGAAATAATTGTACACGTAAATTCTCTAAACTTTTAAAAATTAATAAAAATAAAAAGTTTCAGAGCTTCGACGTTTCCAAAAAAAAAAAATAATAATAAACTTTATAAAATGGCTATTTTCAAATTTTTCGAACAAATAATCGTATAAAAGTAATTTTTTAGTTTTTTCACTAAAACATACAAATTTAATTCAAATACAAACATTTGTAGTCCTATTGTGAGTAATATACAAAGAAAAAAAAAAAAAACAGAATTTGACTATCTGCTTGAATATCTCAAGAGATATGGATATGTCTTCGTGGGACATCCGGTAAATATATTATGTATACGAGTATATATTATATCTTATCTTCCAAAATGGTCGCTTACAACTGTCACCTATCCATAAGCATTATAATATCCTGTACGAAGAACGTCGCATCGACGTACATGAAACCTGCAATGTTTCTGGCAGTGAGGCATAGAATAATATTGTGTTGACGCCGCCATATTATAATTTCACCGATCATTTCTCGCGATACACAACAAACTTTTCGTGTAACCATAATATGTAAATCGAACGCATCGGCAATGTATAATATAATAATATAATAATGGTTACAGAATATCGAGTTCTGACATCAAAGACTTGTTCGGTATAATCGTGTCGTATTCAATCAAGGTCAAGTTGTATTTGGGCGCGTTGGGTGGCGAGCTAACAGCCGAATTGCCGTTCCTCGTTATGCACTCAAAAGTAAGTAGCTAATAGGTATATAATGGTATTTATTTATTTTTTACCAGTAGATATCATATTATTACATTTTATTTGTTTATTCCGTAAACAAACACATGCACATGTTACACCGGCGACGTAAGGTAATTTCGTCGTTTGTATCATATTCGATGTTAAATTAAATTAATCATCTCTCAGTATAATGAGACTATTCGGAAGCCGCCGAGTAAAACTCGAAAACACGTACCTATGCACGATATATATAGGGTGATATTTAAGCATGCTCGCCCCATTTGAATGGTTAGATTATGGGTCGATTAAAACTCTGATTTTTGAACGTTTTAAGTGTGTAGTGAAAGACGATATTTTCGCATAGGTACTTCGATTTTTCACAACATTTAATAAATTTTCGGTAATGATATCAACTATGGTTTTTCAAACGAAAATCCACATGTTATTATAATTGTCAATCATATGATTTTTCTGAAAATGTTGACGTTATTCTGCTTTAAATACTAAAACCGGTAACAAATGTTCAAATAAAATAAAAATAGATAGTTTTCTGTGGGGATTGGATATCGGCTGTTTCGTAGGACTCGCGTATATGCGATTTCTTGTTTTGATTCGTGCAGTTACCGAAAAACCAGTTTTATGCTATTAACCTTTAGTGGGTTCGTGTAGGTTCTCATTTGAGAAACCGAGGTTAGTAATGCCACAGGATACTCATTAATTCAGTGTTATGAAAAATATAAGAATTCGAAAATATTGTCTTTCAACCTTCACAATCATAAAAAATGGGGTGAGCATGATTAAAAAAATCACCCTGTATACTTTATGTATCGTATATAATACGAACATTTAAAGAATAACGATGAGTTTTATGGCCAGAAATCAATTATTTTGTTTATATGATTTGTATTTTATAGACGCGTTTCATTTTTTTATTACCTATACGTTTTTAATAATGCCGTTTACCGTTTAATAAAACGAACCCATTGAAGGACAGGCGCTATAAATGCAAACCAAAACAATTAACATGATAATAATATTATTAAATTCAAATATTATTAATATATTATTAATAATTATTATGCAGGTATAGTCTTATATAATCATAATTGTATTATTGATCGTTTGAGATCACAAAATGTTTCTACATTTTAGATCCTTGAGGGAAGAGAAAAATGTATTGGTTTTTTCAATGATAATTACTATTATTTTATATTTATCTGCAAACAACTTTTCTATCGGAAATAATGTTTCGATTTTTAAATGAAGCACTTTTTCTGAAAGAAAATTTTATTTCAGTGGTTCTTAAGGGAGTACTTTTATTTTTGATTTTCCTAACAGTTTTCATAATAATTGAAAAAAAACGTCAAATATTTACGGCCTTATCGATTTCATTGTTTTTAATTCTTGTTAACTAAACTAACCAGAAATATTGCTCCAATCGAAAAATGATAAAAGATCGAGTGAGTTTGTTTTATATAATTTATAGCCACTGTCAAGTGAAAGTCGTTTTTTGGTATCTAAAGTATTTTTCATAATAATTGAAAAAAACCAAAAGCCGAAAATACGATTTTTTTTTTTTCAAACGATGGTACAAGGGATTTCATTATTTAAAATGTTTAAGATTATTTTTTTTTTTCCAGAAATCTTTATTCATATATTTCAAAAATAGTATATTTTCAGAAAGAAAATTTGTCTAGTTCATAAGTAAGAAAATATGTATAGGTATTTGATATTTTCGTATTTTTATGTGTATTTTTATTTGGTAAGTATCTGTTAGTAAAATTATATGACTTAAGAGAAATTATTGAAAATTTAACACAATTTGAGTTCAATGCTTCGCACTGTTGGCAAAAATTATCCGTATAAATAACGACTAACACACAAAATTGCTGTTACAAAAATGTTTAAAACAGCTATACAGAACTTTCTCCAGCGACGTCGCTTGGCAAACTAACTGGCAACAGTAGATTCATCCAAACGATACTACCGGTAAAAAACGGTACTACGAAACTCCGCCTCCTTTACATTAGTCCAAATCCTTTTCGGTACGCCCTCGACCATAAGTTTTGTAATGTCATTGGAAGCTGAGCTATGATTCACCTATCAGAAAAAAAAAAACATTTTATCATTATAAGTCAATTTATGACATTTATTTAACAACTAATTAAAACAAACAAAAATTATCATAAAACATATTTACTACAAAACCTAATTATTAGTTTTAAATACATTATTATATTTTACTAGGTTAAACATAATACATAAATACATAGCCAAAAGTTTATTTTATATAAATTAGATCAAATTAGATAATCACGTATATCGTTTCATCATTTTCAAACAAGATGTCGCTAATTCTACTGCTTTGCAATTATTCATCAATTTATGGAACATCGTTTCCTGTGTCGTCCTCGTCTCCTTGTTAGACGTATTCGCTGTTTTATTTTTGCGCTTCGGTGCACTGCTTGTTCCATGTGACGCTCCAGTTTCTGAGCATTAAGTAGCGTCGACAATTTCAACGAGTTCGGCGATGACACCGTCCTCCACGGAAGTATTATTTTCAACGGGGCGGCGTTCGCGTTAACTTCTGAATAAGTTTTGAAATACATAATCTAAATGTATATTTTATACATTATTAACTTAATATAAAGTCTGCCTAACCTAATCTAACAGATTAACGTACAAAATTATACTAAATAAAATCTCTATTTTAAGCTGTATTTATACTGAAAATAAAAACATTTATAATGATTATTGTTTTTTTTTTCTAAGCACAACAAATTACATGTTATTAGTTTTTATGTAACCTGAGTAGAAAATGATGTAATTTTATAAGAATAAAAATAAGATGCAATTTTGTATTGTATTACTTTGTAGGCTCCACGTGGAGCCTATAACAATTATTCTATGATATAATATTTATAATTGTTGCGTTATCTTTATACCTTTTTTAAACTGCATGCTTGCTCAATATTAAATAAAATTTAATTTTTACCAACAGTAAATCGAACTATGTACTACATGAATAACTCGATGTATAGAATACATTAGACAATAAATTGTGTCAAAAAAATATTGAACACCATATCTAATGTCCAGAAATTTAAAACCGGCCTCACACAATGAAAATTTAGCTTGATATTTTGAAGTGCATGAATTAAAAAAGTTCAATCTTGATGATAAACTGAGATATTATGGATTTTGCTACTTCGAACAATATATAATGAATTTGAGAAATCGAATGAGTATTTTTCATATTATGTATTCACAATGAAAAAAAAAATTAATAAAATAATTTTTTTTTTAAATTTTCCCGTTCTTTTGACGTATTTTTCAGTTTGGCTCAATTATTAAAAAAAACTACAAAGAAAATCAAAAAACCACAATCATGGTCACCAACAAGATAAAAAATTCAACAAAAAAGATCTCTTGTTGTTTTTCTATTTACACAATATTTTTGGTAGAAAACTGAAAAGACTAAAATTTAAAATGAATTAAATTGTAATGCCATAAATTTAACAGTTTCAATTTTTTATCATTTGTCATTTTCTGTTTTTTTCAATTACTACAAAAACTTACCAGGAAAATAAAAAAAAAAAACGAAATATTTATTCGTATACTAAATATTTATACTTTTACGTACATTTTCGATCTAAAAGATTTACTGGAGTAATTTCACTATATTGATAAACCAACACTTGATACTCGTATCAACTACCAAAACGAGACTTATGAACAATATCATCCAGCAAACCTATAGCAAAATCGTACTCGTCATGTTCTCATATGTTTTCAGTATCTATACACACGTCTATTAATTTAGTAAACACATTTTCGCTAATTTCGACACAGTTCATAACAATCCTTACAATCCTTACAATTCCTCGCGAATTGGACCGAAGTAAACGTTATACTTTAGAGTGGGATCGTTTAGTTTCCACTTGTCATTAACTGATGATTCGGCGTTTGATCCGATAATATATAAGTTTTCACATTCATTTGGAATCTAAACGAAATGAAACGTCTTCGTACGATTCACCATCGACGTTTTCGTCGCCATTCATGATGGATATAAACTTCATAGAATAATATTTCACAGAAATTCTCTATAACGCTTTCGTTCCTGTTCTAGTTCAGCTGACTCTTCTCTTATTTCTGCTCGTGTTTTGCTTATTTTTTTCTCCTTATTCTGAATTAACTCGGAGTTAACTGTATAATCGACGATAAATCGATGTATTGTGAAGAAATTACTATCTAATGTAAAATGTTAACGATAACTTCACTGACCGCTGTATTCTTATAGAATGACATTTTTATTAGATAATCGCACACCGTGTATATTTGACGGTTGGCGTTCAACTTAAACTTGAAAATAATTAGAGACGCTTAGAACACGAGGAGTATAAGTGACATTTTTTCAATTTCGAGAAAATCGAGTTTAAAATTATTTGTATTAAATACAATTATTATAGTATATTGTCATATTATCAATTTTCTTGTGTTCGAATGATAAAAACAAGTTTTAAATATTTGGCAGTATAGACGCATAAGTGTGTTGACACCCCTGCTCCGTGGCTAAATCGTTTAACCGCCACCGGTCAACAAGCGCCAAAAATTGTTTAATAATATTAATAACTAAACGAAAATCAAGAGAACTTTTCTCCAAAACATTAGGAATGTACTTCTGAATTTACGGTTCGAACATAATAAGAATGTTTGTCATAGCGACATCACGTATTATGGCATTATGATGTCACATCATTATTATTATTGTTATTATTATTATTATTATTATTACTGTTCATTTTCATTTGTTTGTTTTCAGCCGGAAAAGAATGTACCACGTATACCACCGTCATGATCTAATGGACGGATTATCAAAATGACAAATAGACGTATATTATTGTAGTTAGATATTTATCGGCAGTATTGAAAATATACAGTATAAGTATAATATAGTTTATTACAATATTTTATTATAGAGATATATTATTATGATCTACGTTATTGCTTGTATTTTTTATTTTTATATTTAAACATTTAAATTGATACTTCTGTAATCTAGTAACGCAAATTCCTATGAGCGAAATGGGGGACAGTTGCTACCTAAAATGTTGACGATAGGTGTGTGTAGTGTGTACCTAAATGGTGGGTGGTACTTCGTAGCTGGTAAGTAGGTATCTACTCGATGATTAATATACGTTTAACTTATGACACTGGCCAATAGCATAATACGTGTCATGTTCGCCTTGGTTTTATAGTTATTTGTAGCCGTGTTTGTACTATAACAATAAAATACGTTTCTATATAATATAATATCCATTATACATTGTACACTGTACACGCTGTACACACACTGCAATGTACATACAATAGTTACGTAGGAGACAGTGTATTACAGTTATTAAGTTAATACTTCAATATAATATGCTCAAAATTATCATTGAATGCATTTTTAACTTTTGTTCAGTATAGGTATATAAACAATTAACATGAAATGACTTTTGGCGAGAATATATGCAACTTTCTAAATTATTTCACGATTGAAGAAAACACAGTTTTTCCAAAAATACTAAATTCTAAAAAGAAATTAAACTGAAACGAGGTGAAAACTATGAATATCGAATAAATCGAATGAATCTGACATATTAGATATTTTAATAAATAACCAAAACGAAAGTACACTTCTATTAAGTGAAACTAGTATATATTATGTAACCACAGTCTAATATAAGTATTACTTATGCTTGTAAGTGATCCATCCACAATATTTCTTTTTCTGTATATACCTAGTGCTAAAAATAGGTTTAAGTCGGCTAATGTTCATATAGTTTAGACCAATAAGTAGTGGGAAATAAGAGATACTTCCCGATGACAAATTTTATATTTGTAAAGTACATTTGAATTTGTTGACAAGCTGTCTAGGTTCCTTGGGAAACCGATTTTCGATATTTTCAGCGTTTTGTTTTGTAGATATTTTTTTTTTTACTGGAATATAAACAAAGACTCTTTCGGGCAAAAAAAAAACGCTCAAATTAAGTGCCCCGAGAAACAACAGCTTTTGAAGAATTTAGTATCCGACAAATTGCAAAACTAAAAAAAGAAAGTTGAATTTCTTGCTGTTTAAATAATGTGTGCATTTTATTTATTATAGGATACACGATGAGCACTGATATTCTCTTAAAATTAAAACGATAAATAATATTAACATGCATAAATTATTTGTGTCGTTTTCCTATTAATTTAAAGCACTTTGCAGAAAATCCATAGGCAAATCATTTTTTGGCAATGAAATAATGAAATGTTTCATACTTATAATTTGGTATCACATAATACAATTTATTTTTCTTAAAACGTATAAAAATAAGTAATAATAAAAATTTAAATTTAAATAAAAAAAGAAATAAGTTAATTTATTATGATCAATTCCATTATATTATGATTCTATATTGCTGTTATAATATAAGTAAAAGAACCTAGTAAAAATATTGATAAAAATTATACTGTAAAATAATTCATCAATTCATCAAGTCTTTTCAGTAAGAAATTGCAAAAAAGCTCATATATTTTTTCAGAATTTTGTTTAAACAATCAAAATCCTAAAGGCTGTACACTTTACCATATTTTAAATGATTTTTCGTAATTATTAGGAAAACTAATAATAACTAATTTAATATGTACGATTTTCATCATTTGATTTTAATTTTAATAAAAAAAAAAAATATTTCAGTTCATTTTTTTTTTTACCACTTAGTACAATTTACAATGAACTACTTTTCAAATTTTCAACATCACTGGTTGTGTTGAGGAATTTTTTGAGTACAATGCTGTAAATCCACCCTATTTTTCCTTTTAAGTTTTTCTGTGGCATTAATACACCAGTAATCGACACCCACTCCCCCTAAAAGCACAATATGTAGTTGCATTACTTGATAATCCCATTTGCACTCCACTGATAATAATAAGGAAAATTATAATTTAAAAGTCTTAACAATTCAAAAATATTAAAAATTATGTATACCTGAGTACATTTTATTATTTACATCTCTTAAGGGAAAAAAAATTATACAAATTATGTATATATAAGATAAAATAAGAAACACTTTTATAATAATATACACATCAAAATCTCTTGAAAAATGAATAAAAACATAAAAAAAAAAAAAACTAACTCTAATTGATTTAAGATAATTCTTTTAAAACACAATTAAAAAAATATGCAATCTTTGCAAAATTCTTATCAAAGCCATAGACTAAATATAATATATACATGCAGTCATATTACACACACAAACATAATATCTAAATAGTTATAGCTTATTAAAAAAGGATAATCTAAAAAAAAACTGTATAAATAAAAATTGATCATTATTATAACATTAATTTGATTTAAAATTATAACAATAAAATAGATACATATAGTGTAATTAATTAACACTATTATTTGCTTAGAAGGCAAGTAGAAAAAAACAAAAAGGAAAAAAAAATCACCGCTCATTTAAAGAGAGCATAGTTATACATTATTGAAAGTTTAAATACTATTAAAAAAAAAAAAAAAATAATGTACATAAAGATAAAGGTTGTTTTTTTTTTAATTTGTTGGTTTAGTTATGAATGAACAAATTCATTCAGAACTTGAATATCAATGCATATTAACACGAGATGAGATCTGTATAATAAGTAACAATGTTACTGTGTTAACACAATATTCAATATGGTATTATTCAAACTTTAATTGTTTAAAACCATATAATTACATAATTTGAATATAATTATGACTAGTAGTAATAGTTTTATAGAAGGTTCTTCACTCTTTAAAATATTAAGTAATAATTTTGCATTATATTATAAAAAATTATTAAAATAATAATGAGTAAAAAAGAAAAAAAAATTGACCTAAATTTTAAGAATGCAATACTTTAAATCTTTACTAATTTATGATATAAATTAAAATAATATATTATGATTACATTTGTAATATATGATAGTGCATAGTATTATTAATTTATAAAAGTTAATATACAAAATAGTAATAAAAATCATTATCACATTTTCACAGCAGATTATATAAATGAAATTTGAGGAAGTAATAGTTTTTGTTATTTTAGTTAATATAATTAATTTATATTATTATAACGATCATACAGTAGCCATATTATAAATATTAATTTTTTGAATTTAATGTTGGCATTTATCAGTGAGAATGTTAATGGTTTCAAATTAATTTTAAGAAACACAAAAAATAACTATAGAAAAAAAATAAATACAAATTATGCTAATTAATAATTAAAGACAAAAAAATATATATAACAATTCTATAAATGATTTGGGCAAACTTTTAAATGACTAGTCTATATTGAATGTTCTTAATTAAGTTTAAATATACTTGGGGGAATATCTTAATTTCAGTATATTAATAATGTAATTACTTTTGTACAGCAATTATTTTCTTGATAAAATGATAATTCATATTAATTTGTTTAGCCTGAAAACAAAATAAAAATATTAACTAATAAATAAACATCGAGCAATATGGTATTTCAATTTTAAAACATTTAAGTTGTCATTTAATAAATTTAATTATAATATTATGTAAAATAACAATAATATATGTCTAAAATATTTAATTATTTAATTTCACTTTTAATTTTTGAATATAAACCCAGTTAGGTTTTTTTTTATAACTGTATTTAACTTAAAGGTCAGTAATAAGCAAGTTTAAACATGACTACAACAATTAAGATGATAATTTAACTAATGGATATAATTAATGTACAATTAACTTCAGAATATAAATTTTACATTCCACCAAAATAATTGATTAAATAATTTATACAGTAGCTATCATTATTTCAAAGTAGACAATATAATTTTTTTAAAGTAAAATATTTTTTTTCTGTGATTAAAAAAACTTACCAATGCAAATCATTATGCATTTGTTCGAGGTAAAGCTCTGATGAGAAATAATTTTTCTCCTTGCTTATTGGTGTAAATTGGAGCTCTTTGGTAATGATCGACAAGTTGATCTAATGTGTGAAATTTGCGTTGACCAATGCAATAAAGGGCTCCCTCCACATGAACCCTAAAATGTTTGTTCCTGCCTGGGGCCTTTAATGAAACTGAGTAATCTCCTACCTATTTATAAAATATAAATTATTATATTATTATATTGTTAGTTTATGTAATTTATTTTTAATAATAAATTTAAAATATTTACATTAGTCTCGCTGTCTCTAACTAAGAAATCGCCATCTTGGCCACTTTTGTTTAATACCGTATCACATTGAGCTCTAGTTATGGTTCCATAATACCATGGTTTTCCTACTAAATGAGGTTTGTCGATTACTTGAACACTACTTACAGCTTGAGTTATAGGTTGAGCTAAATATTCACTGAGTTCCTATAAAATAACATGTTTGTACAATGATTGTTAGGTACAATAATATATTAATTAATTATATTTTTATTATTTTCTATTCCAAGGAATTTAGATTTGGAAAATTATTTCACCTGTAAATAATTTTTTGGTACTAAACCAATTTGACCTTGCCCGTTTCTTGCTCTGTACCATTCTGGATCAGTAACTGGTCTTTCTAAAATTTCCAAACGATCTCCTTTTTCAAAACTCAATTCCTGATCAGATGTACCAGTAAATGGATATAATGCAACAACTATGTCCAGAACATTTTCGGCCATTGCATATGTATGGAGACCCATATCATCTCCATTGTTATCATCTTCTTGAGTAGTGTAATTGCTCGGAAACCATCCGGCTTGACAACCACTTTGTCCTCTCCACCATCTGTTTTTATTAGTATATTTTTAAAATACAGTTTGCTTTAAGTGAAGCAAATATAAGAAAGGAATAAAATTAATACCCATCATTGCTCTTTTCAAGAATTAATATTCTAGTTCCTTTTATTAAAGATAGTTCATCTAGTTGTTGAGCTTGATAGTTATATTTTACTAGAGCTGTTCCAATTGCTTCAGATGGATCAGCCGGTAAACGTCTAGCCATTGTCGGAGATTCACTTACACTACGACTATTATTGTGTCCACCACAAGGTAATGTTTTACTACCCGCATTTCCACTAGACGAGTTACTACTGCTTTTTTTCACTTTCTTTTTAATACTAAAATAAAACCGATCAAACATTTATAACTACTATTTATATTAATAAAAATAAAAATTATTAAACTAGAAAATTATAATTTTTAACCTGTCAAAAAGAGAAGGTTTTTCTTTCTTTACATAATTGCTCGGCACGTAACCTGAGAAACCACGAGTATTTTGAACTCTCCACCAATGTTTGGAATCGTCCAATAATAGATATCGATCATTTTTTCTTAAATCTAGTTCTTGACCACTTTGAGCAACGTAGTCGTATTTTGCCACAACATAACAGTTGTCTTCTTGGTTGGATTTATTAACTACATAAAAAAATAAGAATAATTTAAAAAAAACTTTATTTGTAATTTAATTGATGTATGTCTATGAATACCTGGTCTCATTGCGGACATATGATGGTGGTGTGCGTGAAGTGGAGGACGAATATTATTAGCTGTTGGTTTACCTTGCCACGTAGCTGATTCACGATCGGCTGCTAACAATCTAGCTTCCAACATAACTGAATAGTCTTAAAGAGTGCTATAGTAGTACGTTCAAGATATTTCAACTTATACAATCGGAAATTATATACATTGATATCGACAACGCATGATCTGAGAATTAAAATAATTAAAATTTATTAGATAAAACAAAAAGATATGTAGGTATTATACCCAATTGATATTATCATAATATTTATCAACATTCATTATATTAATAATAAATAGGTAGATAATGTACTAATAGTTTTCCAAGAAAGAAAACCGGGAAAAAAATAACTCTTGTAAAAATGATTTTTTATCGGCTGACTAAGTTCTACAATTAGAGATCAATACGTATCCGCTTACATAAATTTAATATCGGTAAAAATGGGCAATTTAAACATTAGAATGTAGTCTTTTAAAGACTTTAATATTGTAACAAATAACTATTTTTAATAATTACTTTGATACATGTCATTAATTTTAACATACCCACTTATTACACTAGATAGCCATATTATTTTTTTATCAATTGATTACATAACAATAATACCCATAATATTATGTACCTTATTAAAATTTCTCTTTAAAATAATAATTGTTGCAATGGTAATAGCTAATTAATATCATAATGAACAGAAAATAAAAAAGAAAACATTCCGGCTCAATCAAGTGCGAAATTAGTTCGAGCAATAATTAATAGGCAAAAATGAAATAGGTAACATTATTTTATATTTAAAATAGGCACCTACTTATTCCGCGATGCGTGAAAAACCAAAGATTATCATCGTTTCTTAAGTATTGATTTATTTATATTGGTTTTACCTACTTGCATATTGGACACAGAAAAGTTATACTACGATATTAATTAGATATGCTTATTGTTAGGTGAACTATGATTATTATTATTGTTATTTTTAATTGATATTTAACGACCCACTAATATAGGAGTAAACGTTTCAACAAGATAACAGTTGTTAAACATAAATAGTTATGTAGGTACATTATAAAATTAATAACATATAAATAATAAACATAACATCATAATCTTTAAATTTTTTAATGACTTGCTAACTGTTAATTATTATTAAACCGTTATCTAAATTTAATATAATTAATACAAACGCTATTAGGAATAATTACCAAATTATTAAAATGCCTACAATACCTAATATCTGTAATATTAATGTAAAACACTGTTTGTAGACATAAGGTACATATGAAACGAAAACAAAAATAAACTGTTCAAATATACAAACAACAGTAGTTAACAGACTGTAGTAAAATAATAAAAACGCTGATAAAATAATTCACAAACGTTTGAAACTGTAATCAACACTCAACTCGAATGTTTACAAAAAGGACGCGCAATAATATTTATTAGGCGTCCATAACATATTGAGAAACGGGTAGATACGTAATAATATTTCAACCGCACTCGTGGCTAATTTCAATTTAGAAAAAAAAAACAAAAACAAACCGTACAATAACAACGGCACATAAAATCTACCAATTACGAATTGAATTAACGACACGCCAGTTAAACCTGTTAACTCGGAATTTTTTACGGTAACAATCGAGTACCCGCATACCCGTCATATCAATAAACGGTGCACGAATTCACGGACGTAATCGTAAAATGTCACGCGGGGTACCTGCGCGTCCGAAGTCGTACGTACACAGGTACGACAATTGGCCAGATATTAACAATAACGAAATGTACCGCGCGACAATCGCACAACGAATGGCGAGTGAAAAACGGACCGTGTCGTACCGAACCGAAATCGCAATATTCGATTCGTACGCGTCCGGGTAGGGCCTGCCCGGACTTCGCGTACGCAACACAAAACCATCTCGGCCGCCGCGCGCAATCGATAGGCAGGCCTCGTAGGCGCCCCCCCGTGTTTGCTGGCCTACGTGCAAAGACCTACGCGTTCGAACGTCGCCGCACAGGTACCGACCGAACCCGTGGACAACTCCGGTGCGGCCGCGCTGATAACACGACACATTTTACCGCCGCACCGATCGTTATTATCGCCTACGACACCCGTCCGCCTTGCGCTCGCCCGCGTCCACCTGTGTGTGCCGCGCGGGCCGACAACGCTGACAAATAACATCGTAATAATAACCGGGTGCAATACCTGAATTGACACGATCGACGGCGTGGACTCGCCCGAAGTTTACCGTGTATCGTACGCGTGTATCCGTACGGACCGGACTGGACACCGGACAACGGGACGAAAGCAGCTGCGGCGGCGGCGGCGGCGTCGTCAACAGCGACTCGAGGTCGGCCGACGGGAAATGACCATAACGGCGAAACCGACGAGCGGACACGGTGGGGTCGCGACAATGGAATCGCCGTCGGTTTCGCGACGTAGCCGAAATGCGGCCGAATGTGGTCGGCGTCGGCGGCAGCTGCGGGGACGAGCGTACGTCGGACGGGCGAACAACACACACGGCGAACGACGGGAATGTGCGCGTGCGCGCGCGCGCGAGCGTGTCTACGACGTCAGCGGCAGAAAAACGCCCAGCGGTGGCGACGGAGCGGAGGTCCGGCGTCTGCTGCCCGTCGTACTGCTACTGCGCGGCGTCCGCCCCGGCGCTCGCCGCTCGCGCTACCCACTCCTATTGTGCGTGTCGCGCGCTCGCGAGGCGCGCGCGTGCGTGCGTGCGTTCCGAGGCGGTCGTTGCGCGGTGGCGGCGGCGGCGGCGACGGCGGCACGACGCCGAAAACTCGCCGCGCGGTGTCTTTTCTTTCGTGTGCGCGTCGCGCGTATTGTCTATTGCGTAACGCACCGCGGCGCTCTCTGCGAGCGCACGGTACGACAATAACATATTAACGTGTGCACCTATGCTGTCCCGCTGTGACGGTCAATTGGCCGGCGGCGGCGGCGTTGTCGTCGTATTAGGACCCGGGCGAAACGAGAAACGCGTCGCTTTTGAGCTGCGAGACGTTGTCGGTTCGGCGATGTGTTGTTTTCCTGCGCGCGCGTAAAACGGCTTTTGTCAACTGGAAATGTCGGTCTGATCCCGGGGAACGTTACGAGAACCGTAGCGTTTCCGACGCTTCGAGGAGGGGGTGGGTAATTGTTTTGGTTTTCCTCGGTAATTTTCTTGAAAAAAATCGGGAAATATTTCGTATTGTTATTGCTATTTTTTTCCCCTCCCCCACAATTTATTGGCAACAAGAGAAAAAATACTATCAACTATGTTACTGTAGGTACCTACTGTGCTCGGATTCGTTTTTCGCGCGCCAATGATTTATCGTTGACGGGTGTAAATTAAATGAATTACCCTATAGCCTTTCTTCCGACTATCCGCCAACAATGACAGCTGCAGTATCGGGCCGGTTTTTTTTTTTTTTCTAAATATCAGCTGCGCCTCGAAATAGTGCCGGGTGGCGGGGAGGGGGGTGGGGTGTTTACCCGGCCACCGCGCAGAGCAAATTTTACACGATTGTTTTGTGAATAAAAAAACAATAAATTAGATAATCCCTCGAAATAATAACGTGATCGGAACGTCGGCCGCGACCGATACGGCGGACATAGCCGGGCAACTAGGGAGGAGGGGGGGGGCGCTGGATGGACTTTAGCGGCCCTCCAAAAAAAAAGCCCGAAATTCCAATGAGCCGTTTTTATAGCGCCGGGGCGTTTCGCAATCATCGTCGGGCAGAACAGAACGCAAATTATCCGTACGCAGACCGCTGCAATGCACGCGCGTACGGGGGGGGAATAGTAAAGTCGCACAAAAGTGCACACACGGATTTTCACACAAAACCACATTGCGAACACAACGCGCGTATAACAGCGCAGCGTAATCAGTCGTACCGATACGTCGGCGAGCGGTAATAACGAACCGATGAAATGTTCGGCGATCCGGTGTTCTCGTCGATTCGACGTCGTCGCGGCCGGCATTCCGTCTTCGGCCGCGCGCCCGATGACCCCCTGCGCGTACCTACGTTGCGGTTACGCGCCGCCGCGCGTTCGGTGCGTACCTGCGTGGCGCGTCACAACGCGATAACGCACGAATCGCTGTTGCGTAACGCCCGCCGTAGGTGTTTTTATCGAACGCGATTACCGCCGCCGTGAGTCACGGTCTCCGAACCGGCGACGGGCGACGTCGGCAGTGAACTCGGCGAGGTGTTTCTCCCGTGATCGCTGTGCACCGCCATCACGTACACCCACGTCCCGTTCGGGAAACCGTATTGTTGACGGCGCGGACGACAACGACAACGACAACAACAAACAACAACGTTCGCGTGATTATAGCCGTGCGCGGAATAAATTGCCCCGCCGCGGGGGGGAGGGGAGGGGAGGCGGCGGCGAACTGGTGACGGGAATCCGAAAAACCGGATAAAAACATTCGTTTTAATCCGTTTCAAAATCATTGTAAGCGTTACGCGCGTTTACCGTTTAAATCCCCGTGCGCCCGAGTAAAATATTTTTTTTTTATTTTTTTTTTATGAAAACGTAAAAACGGAACACAATACCAAAAAATTAAACCGCTTTTGGATTTCGTATTCGTTGTAATCCGAAAACATTTTATAGTCAAAGTTAAGAGGTTTTTTTTTTTTTTTTCGAATTTTCATTCAGACGTGCAACTTGGGCACGCACACAGCTTCGTATTGTGATAGGCAATGTTGAATATTTATAAAATTTCCACGGGGCTTAAACAGCGTTTTTTTTTTTTTCGAGCGTGTTCCTGGTTGATTACGACAAGTGACCGCCGACAAAAACCCTAAACATCTCAGTTAATTTCTGTTTTTTTTTTCCCCCGTCTTTGTTGACGGTAAAGCTAGAATTAAAAATAATTGTTTTCCCGTGTATCATATTCTTAGTAATAAATACCGCGCACTCGTGTTTGCCCGCTTATCTCCCAATCGGGACGGTCGTCGCTGCTGGCTGTACGATTAAAATTGCCAACGTTGTAATAATATATCATTTTGTGTTATGGAAAAACTATTTATAATTCAATTTACAATTTATTTCTAGATAAAAACAAACATTACAATATGATTCTGCGTTTTTGACCGTGCTTGTTTCATTATTTTTGTTCGGCTTATTTTAATATTACAAGTCGCTTATAAGTCACAACGCAATATTCGAGTGCTTTTTTCAGCGCTCATTTTGATGATTACAAGCGCCGAACCCTGCAGGTGATAAGCGATAAGCCACTCGAATTTAAATTTATTTTGTTCGGCTCACAATGAAACTCCCGTACGCATACGGGGTGCGCAGACACTGTTCGCTGGCGGTGCGTTCAAAAACTCCCCTCCCCCTTATAAAGGGGTCCATCTACAGATATGTATATACACTATACAGTGGCGGGGGGGTGGGATATTAGGGTTATATCTCCACACCGTTAGCTTGAAAATACGAAAAAAAATAATGAGTAATGATATCGAAACGCATGTATTTCGGTCGAGTTACGAGGCAAAAGTGATAACGTGATGATAATATATTAAAATCGAAACCGCAGTATTCACCACACTCTATATCATTCAATTTAAACGATTAATAAAAAATAAAAAAAAATATCGTATTCATAACCGTGTTATTTAGCTATTACAGTCGGTGGCGCAGCGAGTGAACTGTGCCTACGCACACGGGCGCAAATCGTAAAGGGCCGCGAAATTGCGCAGGTCTTATTTTTGTTCTCCCTTCGGAACGAATTTGTTTCGCCATTACGCTGTACCTACATTTTGAAATGTGTGGGCTGCGTCTAATTTAATGACGGAATTATGAAAATAGCATACGGGAATTCCAAATTGTTCCGTTAATTGTTGTTGTCATAACGTGCGTATTTATACACAAATGACATATTTCCAGACAAGTTTAGATGACAAAAATTTGTGTTTTTCGACGGTGTGCGCTGTGCAGATATGAACACCGGGCCTATCTTAATCGCAGCGCCGCGGTGGCGCGCCCGGAACATTTTCCGTAGTTGAGGCGGAACAAGAGAAATACGACCCACCCGACCAAAACACGGATGCCCTACACGCGATTGCAGCAGCAACTTTATTCGACTGTAATCTACATTGACTACACAATATTGGGATGTCACATAAATAGGTACATTGATAATATTATCGTAAGCAAAACTAAAGGCGTTTATGATCTCCTGAACTGGTGTCAATCTCAATCAACATATCCACCCGTTTTAGTCATGAGACGATTGTCTCAATAAAAAAAAAAAACATACCTCGACACGCCACCGCTTTATCGTACATCCGGAACGCCCGACCATTGCAATATGAATAATTTTTGATGAAAACAATCTTATTCTTTTGAAAAGTGGCGATGATCGTATTATAACCCGCGCGGGTAATCGTATCGATATTCTTTGGCCGACAATGCTTTTGACACGTCAGTGTGGCCGGCACGAGAGTTGAATTTGTTTTTAATATAATTTCAAACTGTATACAACTACCTATATTTGTTGATATTATTTTCTCAATGTTTTAATTTTACAACGAACTGAACAAATTTCCATTTCCCGATTATCTGTATGTATTACATTATCTGAATCTAAATCTGATATTATTTCACATTTTTTTCAGTGTACCTATTCTTTTTTACAAGTTAAATTAATGGCTTCCAAAAAAACCTCCGGGTGCCCGGTTTGAGAAACAAATAAAACTGAAAGAATCCAATAATCAAACCTTATCCGCATCATTAGGCAAATGGCTTTTGAATACTAGCCCAAAAGAAAATCTAGTGGTTCCTTCACAAACCGATACTAATAATATTGATGACGTAATAATATCCGAAATTTCTACCGCTGTATTACTAGTCACTGTACCGTCGTATTGTTAAAACAAATTAGTAAAATTAAAGATTAAAAAAAATATCATCACGGGCGCTAGCGAGTCTTCCTACGCCACCGATTACAGTAGGCACTCACAATAAAATATAGATTGCCCGTTATTATATCGGTGGTTATCAATAATATTGTTATCAAAAATATTAATAACACCGGCTTGTAAACACTGTCAAATCCACAGATATATGAAAATACTGTAAGATAGCTGACTGCTCTAGTCAATATTGGAGAGCCTAAATAGTAATGGATAGTAGGAATTTGTTGAAAATATCATGGCCTTGGGCCTCGGTCTACTGGGAAAAACGGTAAAATGTGTACAACATTGAACAAATAATATTAAAGAAAATACATAGAACCTATTTAATTATTTTACTGTAATATGGCATATATATATATTGTGGACAAAGCATTACTGTCAACTGAACTCCGCTCAGAATCGTTTTTTCAGGTATACATTAAATTACCCATAACAGTGGCAGCGTCCGTCCCCATTATCCTAGGACGTGGTTTTAATTTCGTTATTTTATTTTAATTCAATATAATTTCATCGTCGACCTCAGATTTCACCAAATACTTAAATAACACTTTAGATGTAATTTTCAAAACATCGGAGTCTTTTTAGTGTACATTTCATGAGGACAAAATGCATTTAACTCGGTAAAAACAACCGGAAATGTGATCCAAGATAATCATTAACTCCATTACCCATCGTTGTACTCGGTGATAAAAAATATAAAAACCGATTGT